GTTGTTGCGTTTGCTGCTGTCTGCTGCTGCTCTCACTNAACTGTACATCAGTGTTCAGGTGTGTGGTGATGTGGGTGTGGGCAGCTCCAGCAGAGGGTAGCCCAGGCTGGAGTTGTAGAGGCTGTTGGAATGGTTGTGGCTGTGGCTGTTCACTGGCAGACCGAGACTGCCCCGAGAGGCTTTCCTCCCGCTCGATGCCCCATAGAAAAGCTGTTGTTGTTGTTGTTGTTGCGTTTGCTGCTGTCTGCTGCTGCTCTCACTGCTGATGGTCGCTGATGATCTCCGCATGGTGAGGAGGTGCACCGGAGGAGGTGCACTGCCACCACCTCTGATGTCCCACTCCGAGGAGGCAGTGGAGGCGGACAGACCGTCTGACTCGACCGAGGCGAGAATCTTCGAGTACCGATGGGGCAGTTGAGGAGGATAGGCACTGGTGGACAGCCACTGGTGATTGGCAGCAGCAGCAGGTGCAGGACTGCCCTCCAGGCAGTCCTGCAGTGCCAGCACCATCGAGTTGGTGGGCGATCCGGAGCAGCTGCACCTCGACTTCCACCGAGAGGGAAAGGGCGGTGGGTAGGCTGCGAGTGAGTGGGCGGAGGCGGAGGTGAGCGTGTGCAGGGAACAGCNGAAAGGGCGGTGGGTAGGCTGCGAGTGAGTGGGCGGAAGCGGAGGTGAGCGTGTGCAGGGAACAGCCCTCGGGGTCGCTCAGCTCGGTGTCGGCGGGCGAGGGAATGCGCACAAAGGACATGTCGATGGAGAAGAGGTCGGAGGTGGAGACGGAGATGCACGTCGAATGCTGGCGAACTGGAGGCGGATGACCGTGGGAGGAGTAGTAGTGCGCAGAGGACGATTTTGGAGGAGGACGGTTATGCTGCTGGTACCGACGGCCAACAGGGGCTGCTGAGGAGGAGGATGCTGGGGAGATCAGTGCTGTTGGGGTGGCTGAACAGCTTCCCAGTTCCTTCTCCTCCTCAAGAAGATCTCTGCCGGTGCTGCTTCTGATCTGTATGACGGACACCTCCTGATCCGATTGGCCGAGTGGTGCAAGGAGCTGAGGATCGGTTTGGAGAATGGCACCGGCTAGGTTCACACTGGAGTAGGTGTTCGGTGGATATCCATTCGCCTGATGGTGCTGCTGTTTGACTGAGCTGGTGGGCTGCTCTCTCACCGGATAGGGTTGCTCCCTTGGGGCAGTGGGCAGTGCTGCTGGCGGTGGTGGCGCTCTTTTGCCTGGCTGTTGTTGTTGCTGCTGCTGTTGTTGTCCAGGTGCCACCTCTGTCCTCTTCGTTCTCTGTTTCTTCCTGCCGTCTTCAGCTGCCACCTTCTCCTTGGTCTTGCCCTTTCCCGGTGGCGAGTGTTCAGTGGGCTGCACGGCGGCCATCTGAACGCCCAGTGTGTCACGCACCTCAAAGGTGAGCACACAGGCGGCCACCAGGACCATCCCGCCGAGGCCCATGATCACCGGACTAGTGAGGAGAAGAAATGAAGGGGTAAGAGTTATTACCTGATAACTGATCAAAACAATACTAAAGGCAAACCTACCCCACATAGGTGAGATTGTGCAGCTGAGCCTTCAGACTGTCGTCGGTGTGCCTCTCCACAATGGTGCCGTTCTTCAGACGGACGGCCGCCACCTCGGAGAGTGCCTCTGCGTAGAAGCCCACCACGGACATGATGGTGCCGACGAGGACGAGGATGACGCCCGGACAGTGCGCCTTTACCGCCACCCACCAACAGCGGCTGCTGAAGAAGACTCGACGAGTGCTGGACTTTTTATCGCCACCAGCACCACCACCTGCTGTTCGCTTCTTGCCACGACGACCATCGCCTCGGCCATCACCGGCCAAGGCGGCGGCCGCCTCCGCCCGATGTGCCGGATGCGGGTAAAATTCGTGACTGTACAGCTGCGAGAACTTGGCAAAGTTCTTGTCCGCGTCAGCACCTGTGTTGTTGTTGTTGTTGTTGAGGAAGAGTGAGGAGGAGGAGAGGACAGTGGGGTGGGAGCCACCTAGCTGATGGGCATGCTGCTGAGAGCTGTCTAGGGCGCCGTAGAAGGAGCTAGTTCGAGCTAGGTTCGAGGAGGAGGACTGATGGCCCTGGTGGCCCTGGTGGCCCTGGTGGCCCTGAAAGAGTTGATGGCCCTGCTGTCTAGTCGTGCCCTGCCGGCCACTACTGCTGAAGCTACTGGGACGGGCCCTGCTGAGGGCTGCGGCGGCCGCCTCCGCTGCCGCCGCCCTGGCGCTACTCCCGCTACCTTTGTACTGGGTGGGCGGAACCACCGGTCCGGAGATGCGACTGGAGCTGGCCTGCTGACGCAGCTGGCGACCGATCACCGCCGCACTGGCCGCCATTGGGGCAGTTGTGGTTGTTGATGGTAGTGGGAGGGAAGGTTAGTAGAAAAGAGAGAGAGAGAGAAAGAGTTTTGCGTTTGTTTGGGGCTGAGGACTATCAGGGGAGGGATGCAGAACTGAATGGAGGGGTGGACGACTACGCCGAGGACGGGACACCTCGGGCATTGGCTGCCTAGTGGAGGGTAGTGGTAGCAGTAGTAGTACATCTGGCTAACATTCTTTCTTTCTTTCTTTCTTTCCCTTTCTCAGTAGTGGCACTTGTGGGAGTAATAGTAAGTCTCGACTAGGCAAGTCTCGTGTCGGGCATCATGTTCAACATCATCATCATCAGCTCATCATCAGGCGGTAATGGCGGTGGAAGGGGAGGTGGTGATGATGGCATCGCTCACTGCACTCAACTCAACTCAACTCTAGTCACAGTCACAGGCAAGTTTGGGTAGCATTTTTTTCAGCTGGCAGAGAATTGGTCGGGCTCACGATGCACCAAAGTAGGAAGAGAGTGGAGTGGAATGATTGGAGAGCAGGCAGCAAACTGCTAATATGCTTCGGATTCGTTTCGATAGGAACAGTCGACAAACAACAACAACAACAACGACAATATCACTTGGGCTATATTTTCTAGTAGTAGAAGTAGTAGTGGCTGATTCTAGTAGTGGTAGCAAAGGAGACAAATTACCATTTAGAGGTGGCAATTAGTTGCAGTCGTAGTAGTGGTAGAGGTGATCGAACATGCACTGTTCTAGGCAATGGGCAATGGGCAATCGCTGCCTAACCGATCGAACTGTCTACTGTGTGCAGTGTGCAATCGACGAGGACACTACCTAATTAGCTAGCTAGGCAAATGATGCAGGGTCGGTGTGGGTGGGTGTGTGTAGGTGTGACTGGCTGCAAATCAGGATTACCTCATCTTGAAGCAGTTTTGAGGATGGTATGTAGGTTGGCAAAAAATGAAGAATCGCTGTGCTCTGCTCCAAGGACAGTAAAGAAGTGAATGGAGAGGGCCACTGAAAGGCACAGCAATGCTGGCACTGCTGCCCAGATCGTGTTCTTTCAATTTACTTGCCGATGAGAGGGCGAACTGTGCGTCCCCGTTTTCAAATGTCACTTGATGGATCGCCTGTAGTAGTAGTAGAGCTGCTCGGTCAGTGTCTCGTTGGAACTTTAACAGGAAAGGCGGGAAGAGGAAAGCAGTCAGATTATAACGATGACAGCGGCGACAGAAACTGGGAAACTGACGGCCGATTAATTGTGCGATGCTGGAGTGAAAACACTGCTCAGGCTGCTTCCGATGACAGTGTGAAAGTGGCCAAGTGAAAGTGGACACTGCAGATGCTGCGGGGCTGATGATGTTGATCAGATGTTTTTCTTTCTTTGGTGCAGTTCAGGTAAGAAGATGGGCAAATGAAGGTGAAGGGGAAATGAGTGCTGGTGGTGGTGATGGTGGTGGTGAAGTAATCGGGTGCCTCTTCATCGGACGGCGTCAGGCGGCGGTCTGAAATTCGGCGGTCGTGGTGGTGGTATTGGTGGTGGCAGTGGACGCCAAAGACGACGACGACGACAACGACGACATCATTAGGGGGAATTAGACAGGGCCATTTATTGGCACAGACAGCGGAGATAGGACAGTGCTGTATGAGTGTGCCGTTGTATGAGTGTGAGCTGCTGTACACCGTCCCTGTGACACTGGTGCACTGGAGGCACTCTTTCATTACCGATTGACGAGGAGTGGCCAGTCCACTGACTCAATTCTGCTGCTCTGCTGTCCTCGTCTTCTTCACTTCACTTCACTTCACTTTACTTTCGCTTCAATTCACTGGTCGTACAGTGCCCGCCGACCACCGACCACCGACCGACTTTACCGGTCTACGCCATTCGGGCTCACAAGACAATAGAGGAAGAAGAAAAAGGAGAAGAAGAGAATGGAGAATAGAGAATAGAGAATAGGGGAAGACGAATAGCAGTGAGAGAGAGAAAGAGAGAGAGAGAGAATGAATGAATATCATTCCTGTGCAGAGAAGACTGCACATTCCAGTGAGGAAGCACGCAAGGAGGCACAGAATGCTGGCAGAGACTGCTGCGACTCACTTCCCTGTCGCTTGCCTCTACCCGAACTACCGACCGACCGACCAACTGACTCACTCACCCACTACTCACTCTACCCGACCTGGCAGACGGTGCAAATTGATTCGCAGCAGCAGGAATTGGGTAGCAGCAGTAGCAGTGCACTACCTGCACCATTCTTTCCTATTCTTTCACATTCTCCTTTCCTTCCTTCCTTCCTTCCTTCCTCCTCAGTGCGAATTAGTGTCCAGGCAGGACAATGGCTTCCATGCCATTGGTACAGTCATTTGCTGTCAGATCGATCAGCAGGCGCTGGGTGCCTGCACAGGAAAAAATGGTGATCACATATCGAATGGCGCTGATGGTGCCGATCGGCTTTGATTTTGTTTCGAATTTGCGCCCAAAGTCATTCAGTTCCAGTCTCAAAGTTGAGCAAGATGGCCGACAGTGGCTGCACCTGATGACGGCAAAAGCAGGCTGATTTGCACTGGCCCCTCATCTGCGAGTGCCCCCAAAGTGCGGACGGCACTTTGTTTTGATTCAAGCTGATTGTTTTCATTTTCAAACTTCACATCGTTTGGCCAGAAAATGCCAAAGAAGCACTCCAAGATTGCCTCCCTCGCCTACTCTGACTCGGAAAATGAGGACAATGATTCGGTGGAGGATGGCGAGATTGACGACGACGATGAGGAGGGCGAGGTACACGATGAGGAAGATAGCCAACTGAGGACCACGGAGCACAACTCGAACAGCAACGACTCAAACAGTCGAGGCGACAGGGCCGCCGCCGAGGAGCCCTTCTTCGAGGACATTTACGGCGACCAGGACCTGACCATCGCCGACTACCACCGCTCGCTGTTTGGCAAGCGGCCAGAGGAGGTGACCATGCCACCGCCCACCCGACGTCGTCCACCGGAGGAGCTGCAGCGACGCATCGAGCGCTACTACGAGAAGGTCCGCCTCGGCTCCGACCTGAACCGGTCGATCCAGGCGCGGAAGGACCTGCGCAACCCGAGCATCTACGAGAAGATGATCTCCTACTGTCAGATCAACGAGATGGACACCAACTACCCGAAGGAGCTGTACGACGCCACGCCCTACCTGGGCGCTGCCTCCTACTACGAGGAGCTGTCGCGGCTGCAGGTGGAGATGATGGAGAAGCGAAACCAGGGCGGTGCCGCGGGGGCGGCTGCTGCTGCTGTTGCTGCTGCATCAGTGGCCGGCAAAGCGCCCGATGCCGGCAGCTCGGAGCAGCAGAACAAGAAGAGCAAGTGGGACTCGGGTCCTGCGGTGGCCAAGTCTGCCGCCGTGGCCGCCGCCCTCTCCAAGGCGCAGACACTCGCCTCGAAGGCGAGCCAGAAGAAGCCCACCGTGGTCACCGCTTTCGGGACGATCAACAAGCGCAAGTAATCTCANCGGCTGCTGCTGCTGTTGCTGCTGCATCAGTGGCCGGCAAAGCGCCCGATGCCGGCAGCTCGGAGCAGCAGAACAAGAAGAGCAAGTGGGACTCGGGTCCTGCGGTGGCCAAGTCTGCCGCCGTGGCCGCCGCCCTCTCCAAGGCGCAGACACTCGCCTCGAAGGCGAGCCAGAAGAAGCCCACCGTGGTCACCGCTTTCGGGACGATCAACAAGCGCAAGTAATCTCATTTCATCGGTGTTCATCATCATTTGTACTGTACATCATCATCACTTCAGTGCTTTCATCAATAAATATTACATGGTCCGTATGCGATTGTAGGTGGATCGTGAGGAGGAGGCGGAGATTGAGAGTGCCTTTCGCTTTCTGCGGTCCTTCTTGTAGTCGACGGTGTAGAGGAGGAGAAAGGCGCAGACGAGGGCGACAAACTGGAGGAAGGCGAAGAGAATGGAGGTGATGCCCACGCCGTGGATGTTCGCCAGCAGGTAGTGGCGCACCTTCGCCAGACAGCCGTGACGCCAGAGAAGGGTGCTGTTTACCGTGGGAGACTGCAGGCCGCACACTTCGCTGGTGCTGTTGTTCTCTGCTAACGGTAGTGGTCTGCAGCAGGAATCAGGCACCCTCTGCTTGTCGGGCCAGGCGGCAATGTGGTACCAGTCGGTGTAGTTGTTCACCCCGCAGCACCGAAAGTGCGTCTGCAGGTGGTCCCAGGTGGAGCGAAAGCCCTGCTCGCCGCCGCCGCTGCTGCCATTGCTCTCGGCGGCCTGGTACCGGTGGTGGATGCCGTCGAGGAGTTCGCTCTGCAGCGTGGCGCCCAGCTGCGTCTGGAAGGCGAAGCAGACCGCGCCGAGCAGTATCTCCACCACCATGATGAGGATGACCGTGGCGAGGTACACCGTCAGCAGGGTCTTGCTCTGGAACCAGGCGCCGCAGCAGCCGCAGAAGGCGGTGAAGAAGGTCAGCGCGCCGATGGCCAGCGCCAGGTTGTCAGCGCTCAGCAGGTGGTAGGAGGGCAGGATGCGGGCGTAGGTGTCGTAGGAGAGGGTCAACCAGAGGCCGATGCCCACCAGACAGCTGCCGCTCAGCTGTGTTTGGAGAGGAGAGGAGGTAGTGTTAGAAGATGAAGGATAATGATGAGGATGAGGATGAGGAATACTTACCCAGATGAGGAGGTTGAAGAGGCAGAGGAAGCGGCGAATGCAGGTGTAGCCGGTCGCCATGATCGTCAGCGTCGCATTCATCAGCATCCTGTGCTGGAATACTCGGTGTTGCTGTTTAGTAGGGGATTAATTGGTGAGGATGAGGATGATGTATTGCCCTGCTCTCCAGTGCTCACTCGCTGAAGTGTGCCACAGGTGTGTGTGCTGGTGAGTGCGAGTACAGGTAAAGGGAGCAGTAGTGCCTGCTGAAATGGATGAAATGGATGCTGCTGTTTGGTTTTTTGGTGCCTGCCAGGGAGTCCTGTGCTGTGACTGTGGGTGACAAGAAACAACTGCTTCTCATCTGTCATCGGCAATTCGTGGCACTACCACCACCACCACCGCCGCCACTACTCATCATCATGGCTGCCTTTCTCGCTTCTGTCGCCAGTGCCGACGATGCCGCCCAAACTTAATGACTCTCTCTCCCTTCTTCGTTAACAGCAGCAGCAGCAGCAGCAGCAGCAACTGGCAATCGAGGAAGTGATCCGACGACGGCGACGGCGACGGTCATTCAGTTGGTGAGAGAGAGAGAGAGAGAGAGAGAGAGAGAGAGAGAGAGAGAGAAANGGAGCCTGATTTGAAGTAAACACAGCCAAAGTGCAGTTTTCTTTGTTACTGTCCCTGTGCAGCGAAAAAGTTGCACGCCCAGGACCTGCAACCAAATGAACCGCTTACGAACCGTAGTGCTGACTCAGACTGTGCACGCTCGCTGCTGCCGCCGTTTTTGGCCTGGGCTTCAGTGCAGTCAAAGAGCACAGGCTGTTGCGGGGGAGCACAGAACAGGGGGGGG